TTTTTCCCCCAAAGCCCCAGTAGATAGTTGTATGTCATAGTTGCACAGCCTTCTAGTTGCTGTATGTGGGACGCGGCCTCAGCATGGCCAGAGAAGCAGTGCGTCAGTGCGCGCCCAGGATCCGAACCCGGGCCGCCAGCAGCGGAGCGTGCGCACTTAACCACTAAGCCACGGGGCCGGCCCGGGAAGCGTTTTTTAAACTCTACAGAAAAAGCATTAACATAAAGAATACTTGATACATTTGATTACATTAAAATTAAGAACTTCTTTTCATCAGAAAACACCATTATAAGAGAGAAAAGACAAGCCACAGAGTAGAAGAAGGTATTTGCAACATATATAACTGATAAAGGACTAGTTTCCAAATTATATGAAAAACTCCCATAAATCAGTGACGAAAATGCAGATGATCCAATTTTTCTAAATGGGCAAAAGGCTTGAAAAGACACTTTACAAAAGGAGAAATCTAAATGTCCAATAAATATGAAAAGGTGCTCAATCTCATTCGTAGATTGGGTCAATGCAAACTAAAACTACAGTGAGCTAACAGAATGTACCTATTAGTTTGGCAAAAATTTAAATATCTGACAATACCACTCTTAGTGAGAGTGTAGAAGAACTGGAACTCTCATACATTGCTGGTGGGAATTTAAATTAATGCAACCTCTCTGGGAAACTGGTATCGTCTAATAAAGTTGAAGATATACATACAAATGACCTTCCAGTCCAAGGTATATACTACCTTAGACATATGTGTTCTGATGTACACCAGGATACATGCCTAAGAATGTTCTTACCAGCAACTGAGATGCCCATCTCATAAAATGGAAGAATTAATAGTAATATATCTATACGAGAAAATACCATACAGCATGAAAACCAAAGAACTACAAATATACGCATAATATGGATGGATCTTATGAACATAATTTTGAGGGTAAAAAGTAAGTCACAAAAAATATATATATAGCATAATTCCATTTATACAAAGTTCAAAAACAGGCAAAACTAAACACAAAAGGTAAACTCTAAATAAAAGCACGAGAATTATTACTCTTAAATTTGGGGGAAGATGGAGGTTGTGTTTGGAAGGGGATAAATGAGTGTCTTGGTCTGCTAGGGCTGCCGTAACAAAATACCACAGACTGGGTGGTTTAAACAGTAGAAATTTATTTTCTCTCAATTCTAGAGATCGGGAAGCCCAAGACCAAGGTGCCAGCCAATTCAGTTCCTGGTGACAGCCCTCTTTCTGGTTTGTAGATGGCCGCCTTCTTGCTGAGGCCTCACATGGCCTTTCCTCCGTGCTCGCTGGGAGAACGTGTGTGTCTGTGTGTGTGTGTGTGTGTGTGTGTGAGCTCTCTGGTGTCTCTTTTTATAAGGGGACTAATCTCATCATGAAGGCCCCACCCTTATGACCTCATCTAACTCTAAGTACCTCCCAAAGGCCCCATCTCCAATTACCATTACATTAGGGGTTAGGGCTTCAACATATGAATATTGGGGGGGACACAAACATTTGGTCCATAACAACAGGGCTTCTGGGGTGACAGTGATGTTCTATAACTGGGTAGTAGTTACAGGTGTTCCCATATTTCAACCATTTATGCACATTCTATATGTCTTGTATGACATTTAAAAAATAAATTTATACATCTAGGTTA